ACACACACACACACACACACACACACACAGCTACTCCTGGACTCTTCTCTGGTAAAATGCTAGTCTTTGAGTCTTCAGAAGTAAGTATCCCTACGTGTCAGCCATATACAAGTGCACAGGAAGGGAGGCCTTCTTTCCATGATTCTTCCTAGCTGTACTGCTCCAAATTGGGCTCTACCGGACCAAAGCCAGAGTGTAGTGTGGGCCTAGCTGGCTTTGGTGAGATGTTAAATCTTGTTCTGTTACTCCCTACCATGACCTCTGATCTCAGAAGTCCTCAGTTACTGAGTCATGGACCCTCAGACTACTAGATCCACCCAGCTATTAATGATTCACCCTCTTGATCTTGATCCTTCTCAGCCCCCTACTCAACTCCAAGTTGACATATCTATCTATCTTTGGCCTCACATATACGTCCTCCCCTGCCTTTCCTGCCCCCCAATTTCCCAAAGCACAAACTTCCATAGCAGTGCTAGAATCTCTGGTTCTTGTCTAGATAGGTTCCCCATGGCAAGAACCCAGGAGCTGACCATATCTGGCTGAGAGGCCACAGAGTTTACATTCTGGACCTGACCCTCCTACACCCAAGGTCAGCATGGAGACAGGGTTCTAGAGACACCCCTCAAGAGCCCAGCTAGCATCAAAGCAGAAAGACAGGAGATAAGTCTTCAGGGCTGGCAAACACATCATATCAGAGGACTGGAAGTCATAACCCTTGCCACTGCTCTGAGAAGGAAGTTTCTGTCCCCAGCCATAAGGGAACAGACAGGATGTAGTAGCAGCAGCAAGAGAAAAAAAGCATTCTTTAACACATTTCCCCTCAAAAGTCTCAGTCACCAAATGGGGCTGTCCTGAGGAGGAGAGAGGGGATACCTGAATGGTTACCTTCTAGAGGATGGCAGCCCAATCCCACAGAGCTGTTCTTCTACAAACTGTGGGCCTCTGGAACACACAGGCCAGTCCCCCACCGTCCAAACCCCTGTGCCTAGCCACAGGTGTGTACTCAAATGTATGGATCAAGACAGATGTTTGGACTTCTGTAAGGATAAGACAGGTGGGTCCCAGCTTGTTCCATAGCAAAGTGCCTTTCAAAGGGGAAATGTGAGTGCTGAGGGAAAGGGAGAGAGAACAGAGATACCTGTCTCTAGCCAGGGCAGCAGCTTGTTTATGGCTCCAAGACCAAAGACAGCTAATATAAGAGGTGAGGGTCTCTAATCTGTATAGCTAGAGATGTAGCCAGGAATAATAATGTTGCATCACAGGTAGGTAGCAGGATGGTTACTCTCCTGCCCCATAGCAAGCTCTCCTCTGTAGCCTGCCCCCTCCCTCAGATCCCATGAAATTTCTGTTACTATCAGCAAGGCACTGGCCCTCAAAGGAATACCCTCACCATGCACGCACCTTCTACACAGAACTCCACCTCTTCCAGGTTCCGCAAAGTGATCCGCATAAGGCTGGAGTTGAGCATCAGTTCATTCTTGTGGGCTGGCCACAGGTAGGGTGGTGCTGGGTTCACAAAAAAGATTCTAGTGTCTCCAGTGGACACCTGGTTGTCACAGATAAGGGGGTCTCCGAAGCCACCAATCACCACCTTGTTGCCACCATCCAACAAACTCTCCTGGGCCACCACATCTTTGCCTTTCAAGTACCGCCACACTCGAACCTGAGTGGACAGGAAGGTAAAAGTGTATTGGTCCTAAAGGGATAGGGTGCCAGATTGGATACCTGGGCCCTTTCCCCTCCTCTGTTCTCACTTGCTCAAGCCAGTGTCCACAGTGGACTCCAGCCTTGGGCAGAGATGTTCAAAGTTCTGTGACTCAGCCTCTCAGCAAATGCTGCAGGGAAGTAGACACCTACTGGATAGGGGGTGACACATAAGAAGGCATACCACCTAACCATACTCCCACCCTAGGTCTAA